CCGATCATGCCCCGGAAACCGCCGTACCGGCGACGGCTGTTCTCTCCCGCGTCTGGGTCGCATAGATGGCGTAGTTGACGATCGCGCCCGGGGTCGAGCGAAGCTGGCCGGCATCGAACGCACGCCGGCCGGTGCCGAGTTCGATCCGATAGGGATCGAGCGACTGCTCGCCGATGGTGAGTGCGATCGTCTGGCTGGGCTCGTCATACGCGAACCCCAGCCCCGGGATCGCCGAGAGCGCGACCAGATCGTCCTTCACCATCCGGGGATCGACCTGGACGCGAAGCGCGCGCAGCTCGCTGGCGCGCGCAAGCAGGCTCTTGTCCGGCAGTTTCAGCACCGTCAGCAGGACGCCGGTCCGCGCGCTGTTGAGCATCACCGCGAGCAGGAGCGTTTCCCACTCCGTCCGTTCCGGCGCCGACGCGGCCGGCCGGGCGGCGTCGAGACCGGCGGCCAGCGCCGCGCAGGGCAGCGAAGCGGCGTGGATGCCGGCAAGGACAAGAAAGGGCCGGGAGCGTCTCACCGCCCGGTCTCCGCCCGCCCCTCTCAGCGCCTGCCGACGACGATGGCGGCCTTGACGTCGAGCGCGTCGTTCTTCGCGACGAGGCTGACGCTGTCGCCGTCGCGAAGCCGCGCCCCTGCGCCCGGCGCATCGGCGGGGAGAGTGAAGACACGGGTCGCTCCGCCCAGCACATAGCCGTTGAGCCCCCCGCCAAAGCTGAGCGGGCGTCCCGACGGGGTCTGAAGCATCAGGTTGACGATCTTCGCATGACGCTTGCCCTGATTCTCGGCCCGGACATGCACCCCAGCCTCGTCCTGCCAGACGGCCCATTTGAGTTCGGCCATCGCCTTCGCGTCGGTCACGAAGACAGGGAGGGAGTTGCGCAGCACCATCTTGACGCCCTGCCCCACCGTGCGGGGATCGTCGGGTTGCGGCAGTTCGTCGATCAGCAACCGATAGGCCAGCTCGCCATTCACGGGGGCGATCATCGGCCGGGCGACGCGGATCGTGTAGGACGCCCCCGCGGGCACGGTGATCGCCGGCGGGCTGACGATCATGTCGTCGGTCCTGTCGAGCTGCTCCTGACCGTCCTCGCGCTCGGACCATTCGTAGATGCGGAGCTGAAGGTTGACCGGCCGATCGTCGGTATTGACGATGGTGATGGCCCCGGCCCGCTCGGTTGCCGTCAGATGGACCCCGATCGGCGAAATTCTAAGTCTGGCCGCCCAGGCCGGCGCCACCGGCACCAGGGCGGGGACGCATGCCGCGAGAACGAACGAAATCAGCGATGATCTGGTCATTGTCACCACTCCTCAGCGAGGAAGGCGGCTCGGGACGAGGCCAGGAGCCACCGACGAGGGAGGAATGGGATGCAGGACCACCAATGCCGGCGGTATCCCGGCATTTTTTCGGATCGAACGCCATGATAACAATCCCGCTATTCATACCTCACCCATGAGCCGCCTGCCTGTCGCGGCTACAGGGGGAGAATTACCCAATATGGTAAATAAATATTTATTTCGGGTAGGCGGGTAAATTGATCGCTCCCGAATGGAGGTATCGATCACTTTGTAACAAGTACAGGCATCGCACGTCTTATATGCGACCGATAGAGTCCCGGGGCCACGACGCCAATGGACAGGCAGGAGAGCGGAAGTCGACTTGCGCGTCGACTACAGGTCGGCATGTATCGCGAAGAAACCGAGGGAAGCCAACGCCGTCGTAACGCATGAAACACCGACATCCTGGCAGACCGGAGAGAAGGCGGCGACTCCCGGGCCGCGATCGCATTGCTTGGACGGGCTCCAGACCAATCGCCGGCTTCGGGATCACGCGCTCCGAATGGCGACATTTCCGCCGGAATGCGGTAGCGGCAAGCAATGTCCATGAGAATTGCACGCCCCGTCCGCGCGCAACGGCACCGCGATGTCGTCTGACGGGTCGCCCAGATCGGGCCCTTTATCCAGGCCTTTCGCAAGCGGCAGTCGCTGACGCTCGACGACCTGGCGCGGATGTCGAGCGTATCGCGATCGATGCTGTCGCAGATCGAGCGGGGTCAGGCGAATCCGACGCTCGCCACGGTCTGGTCGCTGGCCAACGCGCTCAAGGTCGACGTCGCCGAACTGATCGGCGTCACGGCCCGCGAAGCGCGCGACCAGATCGAGGTGGCGAGCGAGGCGTTCACCCCCGAGATCCGCACCGATGACGGGCTGTGCACGCTGCGCATTCTCAGCCCCGCAAATCACGCGGAGACGCTGGAATGGTATGAACTGCGGTTCGAGCCCGGCGGCAGCCTGGTTTCGCAGCCGCATGCCAAGGGAACGCGCGAGCATCTGACCGTGCTCGAAGGCACGTTCGAAGTCGAGGCCGGCACGCAGAAGGTCGCCGTGCCGCAGGGCAGCACGGCGCGCTACGCCGCCGATGTGCCGCACCGGATCACCAACAAGGCGAAACGCCGCGCCCGTGCGCTGCTGGTCGTCGCCAGCTAGATTCCAGTATAGTGGACTTGCAGTCCATTATACCGTATTCGCACTTTCTCAGGATGAGGGAGTGCCGCGATGGCTGGTGGATTCTACGATCGTATCGAAGCAGAGCTGTCCGCAATCCGTGCCGACGGACTGATGAAGCCCGAGCGGGTGCTGACGACCCCGCAGGGCGCCGCCGTGCGCATCGAGGGCGGGCCCCCGTCGATGCTGAATCTCTGTGCGAACAACTATCTCGGCCTTGCCGCCGATCCGCGCGTCGTCGAAGCGGCGATCGCGGCCACGCGCACTGGGGCGCCGGGCTCGCCTCGGTCCGCTTCATCTGCGGCACCCAGACCCTCCACAAGCAGCTTGAAGCCGAGACCGCCGCCTATCTCGGCTATGACGACGCGATCCTGTTCGCAGCCGCATTCGACGCCAATGGCGGCGTCTTCGAACCCCTGCTGAGCGCCGAGGACGCGATCGTCTCCGACACGCTCAACCACGCCTCCATCATCGACGGCGTCCGGCTGTCAAAGGCCAAGCGCTATCGCTACGCGACGTCGGATATCGCCGATCTGGAGCGAGTGCTGAAGACCGCCCGCGCGGACGGCGCACGGACGATCCTGATCGCGACCGACGGCGTCTTTTCGATGGACGGCGCCATCGCGCCGCTGGACGAGATCGCGGCGCTCGCCCAGCGGTTCGACGCCCTGTTGCTGGTCGACGATTGCCACGCGACCGGCATCATCGGCGAAGGCGGGCGCGGATCGGGTGCGTTCCGCGGCGTCGCGGACAAGGTCGATATCCTCACCGGAACCTATGGCAAGGCGCTGGGCGGCGCGATGGGCGGCTTCGTCGCCGCGCGCCAGCCGGTGATCGACCTGCTCCGCCAGCGGGCGCGGCCCTATCTCTTCTCCAATGCGCTCGCGCCCGCCATTTGCGGCGCCAGCCTTGCGGCGATCGGGATCGCCGCTTCGGACGAGGGCGACGCGCTGCGCCGGCACCTGGCGGCCAACGCAGCATTGTTCCGTGACCGCCTCACCCATGCCGGCTTCGACCTGCTGCCCGGCGAGCATCCGATCATCCCGGTGATGCTGCACGACGCGGCCAAGGCGCAACGCGCCGCCGCCGAGCTGATCGACGCGGGCGTGCTGGTCGCCGGCTTCTCCTTCCCGTGGTGCCGCACGGCAAGGCGCGCATCCGCACCCAGATGTCGGCGGGCCTGACGGCCCATCAAGTCGAACAGGCCGCGGATATCTTGTTTCGGTCGGCCGCAAGCTGGACCTGATCCCGTGAACGCCATCCCAGCCACATCGCTGCCCCGCGCCGCTCACACCGGCGCGACCATGCGCGGCCTCGCCAAGCTGCACGCGCGCGAAGGAATCTGGGAGACGGAAGCACCCGTGCCCACGCCCGGTCCCGACGATATCCTGATCCGCGTCCGGCGCACCGCCATCTGCGGCACCGACCTCCATATCTACAATTGGGACGACTGGGCGGCGCGGACCATTCCGGTGCCGATGATCGTCGGCCATGAATTCTCGGGCGAGATCGTCGAAATCGGGGAGGCCGTCACGCGCCCGTTGTGCATCGGGCAACGCGTGTCGGGCGAAGGGCATATCATCGACTTCGACAGCAGCGCGGCGCGCGCGGGCCGGTTTCACCTCGACCCCGGTACGGTCGGCGTCGGCGTCAACCGGCAGGGCGCGTTCGCCGACTATCTGTGCATTCCCGCCTTCAACGTGGTGCCGCTTCCCGACGACGTGTCGGACGATGTCGGCGCGTTGCTCGATCCGTTCGGGAACGCGGGCCACACCGCGCAGCAGTTCGACCTGATGGGCGAGGACGTGCTGGTAACCGGCGCCGGGCCGATCGGAATCATGGCCGCGGCGGTCGCGCGGCGCGCCGGCGCGCGGTCGGTGGTCATCACCGACATCAACCCCTATCGGCTCGATCTCGCCGCCAGGCTCGCCGACGTTCGGCCGGTCAACACGCTGGAAGAAGATCTGCGCGAGGTGATGGCGGCCGAGGGCATCGACGACGGCTTTGCCGTGGCGCTGGAAATGTCGGGCGCCCCGGTGGCGATCAACCAGGCGATCGGCGCGCTGCGCATGGGCGGCGGGCTGGCGGTGCTCGGCATTCCGGGCGGGTCGATGGATGTCGCCTGGTCGGACATCATCCTCACGGCGCTCACCATTCGCGGCGTCTACGGGCGCGAGATGTTCGGCACATGCAGAAGATGTTCGGCCTGATTCGCGGCGGGCTCGACCTGTCGCCGCTCATCACCCATCGCCTGGATGCGCGCGATTTCCAGCAGGGTTTCGATGCGATGCGCGCGGGCCGCGCCGGAAAGGTCGTTCTGAGCTGGTAGGAAGCCCGGCGACGGCCCATCAACCGTCGCCTCAATCCTGTTTCGGGTCCAGCCGGCATCGCCGATGCGGCGACGAGATTAAGAAGCGGACGGCCATCTGCGCAAGCGGCTCGCCTGGCACAGCGCCCCGTGACTGAAAAAAGAAGCTCAATGCGAAAGATGGTGCGCCCGACAGGATTCGAACCTGAGACCTCTGCCTCCGGAGGGCAGCGCTCTATCCAGCTGAGCTACGGGTGCGTGCATGGTCGGCGATCAGCGCTTCAGAAAGCGCAATGACGTTCTTCGCCTTCGCGTTGAACAGCCCGAAATCGTCTTGATGTGCTGCCGCAAGCCCTCCTCGCCCAGCGCGACCATCTTCTCCGGTGTGTCGACCTCGGCAAACAGCCGCCGGGTCGCCTTGTTGACCCCGGGCGTCGGTCGCTTGAGCCGACAACACCACCGCGACCAGCAACGTATAGTCGTTGACCGACTCGAGCTCGGTCTCGGGATGCGGATTGGCCGCGGCCAGCCGCTCGAAGAAATGGAAAATGTCGGCCTTCTTCAAAGGCCCAGCACCGCATCCATCGTGTAGCGGCCGGCGGGCTTGTCCGCGAGCCACAGCGCGGCCCTGACTGCGCCGCGCGCGAAGATGGCGCGATCCTCGGCACGATGCGCCAGTTCGATCCGTTCGCCCGCGCCTGCGAGCACGACCAGATGATCACCGATCACCGTGCCGCCGCGCAGCGAGGCGAATCCGATCGTCCCTTCCGCACGCGCGCCGGTGAGTCCGGCGCGGTCGGCGACGCGGACCTCGCCCAGCGAGACCGCACGCCCGGCCGCGGCTGCCTCGCCCAGCATCAGCGCAGTGCCCGAGGGCGCGTCCACTTTCTGGCGGTGATGCATCTCAGCGATCTCGATATCCCAGTCGGGGCCGAGCCGCGTCGCCGCCTCACGCACCAGTCGCGCGAGCAGCACGACGCCGAGCGAGGTATTGCCGGTCTGGAGCACCGCGATCTCGCGCGCCGCGTCTTCGATCAGCGCATGGTGCGACGCCGTCAGCCCGGTGGTGCCGATCACGATCGGCGTACCTGCGGCGCGCGCTGCGGCAAGATGCGATTCGAGCGCGGCAGGCGTGGAGAAATCGACCAGCGCATCGGCGGCGGCGGCGAGCACCGCCGGGTCGTCGCCGGCATCGGCGCCGCCCGCGAGCTTGACGCCCTGTTCCGCCAATATGTCGCGGATCGCCACGCCCATCCGGCCGAGGCTGCCATAGATACCAATGCTACTCATAGGTGTTGCTTGGCCGGGGACGGCGCGGACTGCAACAAAGGATTTGGCGACCGTCGGATAGCTGGGGGGCGACTTTTCGCTTGCCGCGATCATGAGCCACGGCAAATCAGCACGATGCTACTGCGTCTTCTCGCCCTGACGGGCACATGCCTCACCGTTGCAGCTGCTGACCCGGCGCCGAATCAGCTCTATGAAGATGTCCGCATCCTCGCAGCGGACGACATGACCGGGCGGCTGGTCGGCACCGCCGGCTCGGCCAGCGCGCGCGCCTATCTGAGCGAGCGATTGCGGGCGATCGGTGTCGAACCGGTCCTTGCCGGTTTCGAGCAGCCGTTCGAAGCGGAGCATAAGGGCGAGGTTCTGAAAGGCACCAAACCTGATCGGCCGTATCCGCGGATCGGGCACCAGCGACCGGGTGCTGCTGATCGGCGCACATTACGATCATTTCGGCGTTCGCGACGGCAAGGTGTTCAACGGCGCCGACGACAATGCATCCGGCGTCGCCGTGCTGTTGTCGATCGCCGAACATTTCGCGCGCGAGCGGCCCGTCCACGATATCGTCTTCGGGCTGTGGGATGCCGAGGAGCAGGGTTTCTACGGATCGACGGCGTTCGTGAAGGCTCCGCCGGTTACGCTGTCGCGCATCGCGATGAACCTCAATCTCGACATGATGAGCCGCAACGACCGCAACGAGCTATGGCTGGCAGGCGCGTATCATTCGCCGTTCCTGCGCGCCCGTTTCGAGGCGATCGTCGCACAGGCACCGGTGTCGCTCAAGCTGGGGCATGACGGACGCCATGGAAGGACACCGACGACTGGACCGGCGGGTCCGACCATTTCGTCTTTCACCAGCAGGGCATCCCCTTCGCCTATTTCGGGGTCGAGGATTATCCCGACTATCACAAGCCGACCGACGATTTCGCAGCGATCCCGAAGGGCTTCTTCGCCCGCTCCGCAGCGACAGCATTGTTGGCGGCGCAAACTGTTCGACCGGGACCTCGATGCGATCGCCACCGAGGCTGGCCGGGCCAGGTAGCGCCCGTCAGGAGACGGCCTAGCTCGCGCCCTCGAGCGCCTTTTGCCGGCGGCGCTGGACCGAGCTGCCAATGCCCATCGCCTCGCGATACTTGGCGACGGTGCGCCGGGCGATGTCGAAGCCCTTGGAATTGAGCATCTCGACCAGCGTGTCGTCGGACAGGATCTTCCTCGGATCTTCGGCCTGGATCAGCGCGCGGATCGCGCTCTTGACCGCCTCGGCCGAGACCGCGTCACCGCCATCGGCCGACTGGATCGCGCTGGTGAAGAAGTATTTGAGCTCGAACAGCCCGCGCGCGCAGGACAGATATTTGTTGCTGGTCACGCGGCTGACGGTCGATTCGTTGCATCTCGATCGCGTCGGCGATCTGGCGCAGCGTGAGCGGCGCAGGTGCGACACGCCATGGCGGAAGAACGCCTCCTGCTGCTTCACGATCTCGCTCGCGACCTTGATGATCGTGCGCTGGCGCTGTCGAGCGCCTTGACCAGCCAGTTGGCGCTGGCGAGCATGTCGGAGAGCCAGGCCTTGCTCGACTTGTCCTGCGGCCCGGCGGATACCTCGGCATAGTAAGCGCGGTTGACCAGGACCCGCGGCAGCGTCGCGCTGTTGAGCTCGACCGCCCAGGCCTGCCCCCGCGGCGCGACGAAGATGTCAGGTGTCACGCTCGCGACGGGATCGCCGCCGAAACGGCAGCCGGGCTTGGGATCATAGCCGCGAAGCTCGCGGATCATGTCCGCCATATCCTCGTCATCGACCCCGCAGATGCGCTTGAGCCGTGCCAGTTCCCGCGCGCAAGCAGATCGAGATTGGCATCAGCGCGGCCATGCACGGATCATAGCGGTCCGCTTCCTTCGCCTGCAGCGCCAGACATTCGGCAAGGTCACGCGCGCCGCGCCGGTGGGGTCGAGTGTCTGGATCAGTGCCAGTACCGCCTCGACCCGCGCGAGCGGCACGCCGAGCCGGTTGGCGATGTCGAGCAGCGAGGCGGTGAGATACCCGGCCTCGTCGATCTGGTCGATCAGGTGCTGGGCAATGAACAGGTCCGCGCCGTCCACCACGGCGCCGGCTTGCGCAAGCAGGTGATCGGCTAGACTGAGATCGGTGCGCGCAGAAGCTGTCGAAATCGGGGCCGTCCTCACCCAGACCGCCGCCGCCGGTGCCGGCAAGCCCAAGGCCGCCATCGAGTCCGCCGACCGAATCCGCCGCGCTGTCATGGTGAAAGGTCTCGGCGGTGAAATCGACGTCGAGCGAGGCCTCCCCCGTGCCGTCGCCGCCATCGAGCAGCTCGGTCGAATCGGCGGGGCCGTCGCGCTCGGGAAGCGGCTCGGCCTCCGCCGCCTCCACGGGTTCACGCTCGTCGCCGCCGCCCGCATCGAGCAGCGGGTTCTTCTCGAGTTCCTCGGCGATAAAGGTTTCGATCTCGAGGTTCGACAGCGCCAGCAGCTTGATCGCCTGCTGAAGCTGCGGCGTCATCACCAGCGATTGGGATTGCCTCAGATCAAGGCGGGGCGCGAGGCTCATGGGAGGCTAATCGAGGGCACCGAGCATCACAGCGAGAATCCCTCGCCGAGATAGAGGCGGCGGACATTGGCGTCGGCGACCAGATCCTCGGGCGAGCCGGCAAACAGCACGCGGCCGTCATAGATGATCGAGGCGCGATCGACGATGTCGAGCGTCTCGCGGACATTGTGGTCGGTGATGAGCACGCCGATGTTGCGGGTCTTCAACTCCTTCACCAGATCGCGAATGTCGGCGATCGAGATCGGATCGATGCCGGCGAACGGTTCGTCGAGCAGCATGATCGACGGATCCGCGGCGAGCGCGCGGGCAATCTCGGCGCGGCGGCGTTCACCGCCCGACAGCGCCATCGCCGGGGCATCGCGCAGCCGCGTCAGGCCGAATTCCTCGAGCAACTGGTCGAGCCGCGCGGCACGTGCCGACTTGTCGGGCTCGGACAGCTCGAGCACCGCCGAGATGTTCTTGGCGACCGTGAGACCGCGGAAGATCGAGGTTTCCTGCGGCAAATAACCCAGCCCCAGGATCGCACGGCGATACATGGGCAGCGGGGTGATATCGACGCCATCGAGCATGATGCGCCCGGCATCGGGCTTCACCAGCCCCATCACCGAATAGAAGCAGGTCGTCTTGCCCGCGCCGTTGGGGCCGAGCAGCCCGACCACTTCGCCCTTGCCGACCGAGAGCGACACGTCCGACAGCACGACGCGCTTGTCATAGGACTTGGCGATCGACACCACCGCCAGCCCCGATGTCGGCGGGGTGCCCGCTTCCGCGGCTACCGGTTCCAGCGTTTCGATATCTGCCATAACGCCCTTCCTGATCGCACGATATGCTTAGCGATTCCTTGCCGCGCAGTCACTTGGCAAGTTTTATGCATGAGAGTTCCGGAAGGGAAGTTAGGGTCGAACCCGGCAGAGCGAAACCCCGCCTGCGGTCAATCGCGCTTGGGGACGGTGAACGGCCGATGACGCGGCCGCCCGACTGGATCACGCTGCCGTCGGGCGCCTTGGTCGTGCCGACGCCAGAAACCGTCCATCGAAGCGCGGCCGGTATCGAGATTGAGCGTCAGCCGCCCGCCGCTCACGCGGTTGCTGCCCTGGACCAGCGAGACATTGCCCATCATCGTGATGGTACGCTTGTTGATGTCGTACAACGCCATATTGCGCCCGCGCCGTCTGGTCGGGCCTGGTGACGGTAACGCCACCCGCCGCATCGAAGCGCGATACCGAGGGCGATCCGTCGGTGATCTGACCGGTATAGGTGACCGTGACCCGCTCGGCGGTCAGCGTCATGTTACCTGGTTCAGCCGGACCCCACCCCATAGGACGGCCCGGCCCGAGCGGTCCTGCAGTTCCGCGTGCGGCGCGGCGAAATCGATCGGCGCGTTCGAATCGTGGCGCACCTGCCCCAGCGC